ATATATATATATTGTGTCATCATAGGCCACACAACAGACACAGACACAGAGACAGAGAGACAGAGACAGAGAGACAGAGACAGAGGCAAAGACGCCAGAGAAAGACAGCATATACAACTGGCTCTCCTTATCTATGAATTCTGTAGTCTTAGAGTCTACCTATCATAAGTCAAAAACATAGTGAAGCCCATGAAGGTTATGAGTTGAACACATGGAAATTTTCTCTTGCTATTATTTCCCAAATATATATATATATTCAACTATTTATTGTATGAGGTATTATAGGTAACCTAGAGATGATTTGTACTACGCAGTAGGGTGCACATATGCTATATGTAAATGTTATACTATTGGATATGAGGGTAGGTTCTGGCTTTTTGTGGAATACCTGGATTCTGACGGATGATTCTATATGCATTGCAGAGCCAGACAAACAGAAGCACACAAAGATGGTGACAGCAGCTTTTGAAGAGATCCTGCATAGCTCTGCCAGCTACTAAAAGCCAGATTATCTGTTGCTTTTTCACTGGAAGTACGTATCCTGACTTCCACCTAGAAACCTTTCCACGTTTCAGGGTTGGCACTGAGTTCCCACGTGAAGTCAGCACTGGGCCCACCCACCACGATGGTGGATCGAGTTGTACCTTGTGCAGGGACGGTGGGCCACATGGCAGGACAGGCATGTCCCAGGCCAGGCAGCCTTCCCTGTGCTCCGTGGCCAGGCTGAGCAATTCCTCTGCTTCACTGTGCCAAACACAAGGCATCTATGCCCACTTTTTCACTGCATTTTAGTTCTCATCATTTTCTTTAGGCCAAAGTCATTTGGTTTAGAAAATTGATGTTTCATTTTTCAGCTACTCAGTACAAAACCTCCCGTGGAGTAAGCCACAGTAAGCCCACACTGGGGACTCTTCTGGGGTGATCTGGTGAGCTCGGGAAAGGAACACTGCCCTTTCGACCAGGGGAGGGGGTCGGGGGCGGGACTCGAGACCACAGTTCCACCTGCTGTGCCCACAGCCCAGCGCCTTCCGCCGAGACCAGGTTCTGTGTGCCTGCCCCAGCATTCATCACTGGACAGCAGAACCTGTTTTAAACTTAATTGTTTCTTTTATCCCAAATTGCTGCCCAGGGACCCCATAATAGAGAAGAGAGAGGATTTAATTGTTCCCAGTGCCCAGCACCTGGGCGATTCGGAGCACAGCACAATAGAAACGCACTGCAGCATTCATGGGCTTGTTCACTCTAAATTGCCTCTAATTAAACCTGGGCTCACTTCTATTATGTGTGCCCTTCTGGTCATTTCTGGGAGGGGCAGCTATTACTGTTACTTTAGGGCTCCTTCAGGGCAAGCTGAACAGCATGTCCTCCTAGAGTTACCTGGTGGGGGCTGAGAAGCCCAAAGCTCCATTTATTTTTTGGTGGATGCTGGTGGTAGCTTTATCGGCTTGCTCTCTGACACTAAGCAGAGGACTACAGTGCCACACAGGGCCACTCAATCACGTGCAACACAGTGTACTTAGTGCCCGCGACTTAGTCCTTAGCTGTGGGGAACTTCTAATTCAGAAAAATAAAAGCAAATAAAATGACTACAGATCAAAAGCCTCCTCCTCTGGTGAGCAAAACAGGCCCTCAGGAGGGGTGAGAAAAATAAAGGCCAGAAAGAAGGCGGCCCCCTGATGTTACCGTTACGGATCCTGCTCTTTAGGATGAACAGAAACATACAGGCTTGCTAGGATCCCCCTGGGCTCCCTGGCTCTGCAGACCCCACTGTGCACACACAGCCCAGACCTCGGAGCACATCCCTCCTCTGTCATCTGAACAGCTCAGCCCCCTTCCAGTTCTCAGGCCTGATGATGGCAAACAGCAAGAAAGTGACAGCCTCCAAACTCCCTTTACACTCTGCAGTTCAAGAAACAGATGGTGAAGCGAGGCCCAAGCCAGAGCTGGGGATTTGCCAACGCGCCCATCCAGACCTGTCTCAGCCTCCTCACAACTTGGGGAGGTGGCACAGTCTGGGAAGCAGAGCTGTATGATCAGAAACCAGGCGGAGATATATTGTGCCTTTGGACAAGCTATTTTAACTTTTCTGATTCCCCATTTCTGTAACTGTAAAATGGGGCAGCTCACAGCAACAATCTCATGGCACCAGTGTGCCCTAAGTGGTGGCAGATTCAGCATCACGGTGGTGGTTACCCCCCTACTCCCCCTCCCCCCAAGACACGCCAGTTGCTGCCTTCTTTTTCTTATTTACATACCTTCCCAGAATCCATTGACATCAATGATGGTTGAAACGATATTTTTCTCACATCCAGGCATATCTCTTCCTCCATTTGGAAAGAAATCCATATGGCCCACCTTCTGGCTCATGCCAAAACCTGAAACACAGGAAAAGGAAGGAAGCGGAGACCCAGGGTCCGAGTTAGACCACGGCCCAGTACTACGTCCAGCTCATCTCAACAGGAGCGAGAACCTTCTCGGCAAAGTCTCCCCTCAGCACAGGTACCACTGCCTTAACCTGTGTAGAAACTTGTCAGATAGAAACTTGGCAAGACAAGGCTGAAGGAGGAAAGACAGGAAGGGAGATGAGGGAGAAGCCAGGCTCTCGGTGAGGATGTGCAGTTGTGTGTTAGACCTCGCGAAGCCCTGGAGAATCCAGTGTACTCTGACACCAAAGACATGGATAGGCACCTATCTGGTGCAATTCCTATTACTTTGTTTCTTTTTAAATTTTTCTTTCCATATTATACTGCCATGCTGGATCAAATGGCATTCAGCACACATTGTTCCTTGGAGAGCCTCAGCATAATAGTTGGGAGCAAATGTTCAGTGCACCACCACCATTGCCATCACCTGTAAAAGTATACCCTGTACTGGCATATTTCATGAGTGGTTACATAAGAAAATGTAGAAAAATGATTTTAGAACAATTAAATACAAGGATATATTTAGTTTCTACAAAGGAAACTAACCAGAGCTTTGACAAAAGAAGAAAAAAATTAATTTGTTATTTTGTAAGTACAGGCCAAGTGTTAATAATAAATATATCTGCCACTTTAGACTTTCATAGACTGGGGAAAGTGTCAAGGTTTAGGGTGACAGCCTCCCAGGGACTATGAAAGGGTATTTTGTTCCATCTGGAACCATCTGTGTTGAGATGGCTGTTTATTTGGAGCTAGAATCTACTTTGACTGGTTGATACCTAAGCCATTCCTGTAGTTAGCCTTTTGAATAGCTTCCTTGCATGTGTGTGTGTTTTGGGGTAGGGGACTCTTGGGCCCAATGTTATCAGTCATAACCCTGGTCACCGGGGTGTGGGACCGAGGAACTTACCAAAGGAAGGAACTATGGGAGCAATATCTGTGTGAATCACGTCCACAAACATGGCGTCGGATGGATCCAGGCGAACCTCCTCAGGTGTGCCCTGGAAGCATGGCTCTGCTGGATCCAGCCCTGAAAGGGGAGGAGAGGACATGCTGCACTTTGAAAAAGACTTGGGCTTAAGCCCACACTGACAAGTGGACTCATTACTGAGGATTCCTGGGCAAAAGGCCGCAGACCTGCGTGATAGTGGCAGTTTCTGGTTTGCCTGGGAAGGAGGCTGGGACAGAAAGACAGGAATAGGGGGCTCTGTCTGTGGGAGAGCACTGGGAAATCCCTAGTTTCTGGCTCCGGGAGGGATGTGAGGGGACTCTTCGCAGACCTCATTTCCTCTTGCCTATTTTTTTCTCACACTACCACCTGGCGCTGGTTTCAGGGTCTGCAAGCTGTGAGGCCCCACGCGGCTGCTCCCCAGCCCCTGCGACTCCACACTTCTACTGCTTTGAGTTTTTCCTCTGCTTGGTGCTTCTCCTCCAGTCTCCCTGCACCTACATCTTTCTCCTCCACGACCCAGCTGCAAGACCATCTCAAGAAAACTTTAACTCCTTCTTTCCCAGCCTATTCTAGCCACAGTATATTATTTTTTGCCTACCTTATTTTGTTCTTTTTACCCATTGCTGGGTACAGCTCTTCATCATTTTTCTTTTAGATTAGACAGTGGTCTCCTCACTAGTTTACCCTTTTCCTGTTTCAGCCAATGTGGCTTATAACAGTACAAAACTTCTCTTATCACTCCCTTTCAAAGAACTCAGCCATCATTTTGCATTGCATTGCATTTATTTATTTATTTATTTATTTATTTATTTATTTATATTTTAGGGAAGGGTCTACAGGGTGTTCAGGGTCTCACTATTAGATTGGACTCATAGTGATCTGCCTGTTTACAGCCTCTCAAGAGCTGGAATTACAGGTGCATGCCACCATACCCAGTCTCTATTGCCATCTCAGCGTGCCCCGGGGGAACGGCTGTCCCAGGGAGGGAACCCTTGGCCCCTGAGCCTGCTTGCGGGTGCTTTAATCTGCTGAGCTATTTGATGGGCTATTTTTTACTTATTACTTTCACTTTGAATTTCATTTATCTACTTAATTTTCTGCTTCCAAGACTGGAAGGTGGATTTCCTAAGCAGAGGCTGTGCCTAACTCATCTTCAAAGAGAGGCAGAAGGTGGGGGAAAAATCACACACAGTGATCTACATTCTTGCCCTGGTTCTGCTCAAGGTCAAATATTTGTCTTTACTCAGAAAATGGGAACAAGGACATCTTGGAAACAAAAATTCTACATAACCGTGAACTGTTACCCTCTCTTCCCTCACTCGGGGCCTCCAGCAAAAGGAGAGCTCATCAAAATTCAACTTTTTCCTTAAATTCTATACTGAGGTGCTGGGGATGTAGCTCAGTGGTAGAGTACTTGCCTAGCATGCACAAGGCCCAGAGTTCAATCTCCAGTCCAAAAAAAAGCAAAACAAAACCAAACCACACCTATTTAATTGTACAAAATCAAGTTGTCCTTGTCTGCCCTGCAAGCATTCCTTCTGCCTAGGATCCACTCAGTCTTTCCTTCAGCTTCCATTTACTCATCGCTCAGTGTTCATTGAGCAAGTACTACCTGGAAGTCTCAACCAGACCCTTGCTGCCTCTGCCGGACAAAGCAAAGACACTGAAGAAATATTTGTGGAGCTGATGAAGTTTTAAAAATCATTTTTTTCTTTAATGCTCTTTAGAAATAATCCTGAGGCCATGGGTTCAATATACTATTGCATTTTTCTGTTTCATAAACCCATTTTTATTTGCAATCATCTAGTTTCTCATACACATTAAAATATTTGGGTAATTATTTGTAAATGAAAGCCCCGCCTAGGCTCCGCTCCCAGAAGACCAGCGCGGCCGCCCTTAGCCGCCATGGGCAGTGCAGGGCTGCAGGCTTCCCGGCGCGCTTGCTCAGGTGCCCTGCCTACCTGTGATCCTGCCCACGCGGCCCTCCAGCCTCCGGCCAGCCTCCCCTGCCGCGTGCGCGCCCAGGCTGTGTCCGATCAGGTGCACGTTCGCAGGCTCGTACCCCAGCTGCTCCTGCGGAGGAAGGGAGGGCGCTCGGGCTCCGCGGCTCCCTGCCCAGGCCTTGCGCGACCACGCTGAGCCTGCGGAGCGCGCCGCCACAGTGCTGACCAGCTGCCTCGGCGCATACAGCAGGCTGGGGGAGGGACCAGACTCTGACCCGGGCAGGACCGGGGTCCCCCTGGCGATCCCCCACTGGAAGGATGGAACCGCCTTGGCAGCCCAGCGCTTCTCCCATTCCTAGCACAGCCTGCAGGGAAGGGAAGTGGAGCTTGCAAAAGGTTAGGCCCCCTCAGCTGGGAATGCACGGGGGTCGCCTCCCGCCTCCCGAGGGGAAATGTGTGGGCTACTGGACTAGCCGTCCAGCCCGAGACCCTGGGTGCAGGGTGGCGCTTCCTTGGCCCAGGATGCGGCCACGCAGGCCTTACCGACAGCACTTGCACTAAGTAAGCCACCTCGGCGCCCACGACCCGGACATTCTGAACAGCCTGGCTGTACATGGCTAGAGACCCGCCCTGCCAGTCCACGCAGATGCAGTTCACTTTCTCCACTTGGAACATTCTCTGGGGAAGACAAAGGTGGGAATCCGCGCATCAAGCACTGCTGTGTGCCAGAGATCTATTAACCTCTCCCGGTCTCATCCCGAGGCTCCACATGGCACCAGGAGCTAGGTGCACTCACTCTGCTTAACGGGTATGGAAACAGAGGCTGAAAGGACCGCGTGGCCAGGCCTGACAGATGGTTACTGACACAGCCGGGTCCGAAGCCCACCTATCAGATCGAGTGAGCATACTCCTATCCAGCAAAGTTTACCAGTTAGCTCCCCAGTGGTTCCAGCCCCTCTCCAAGTACCCGGCACTCCCTGTGGCTAGTGGCTCCTTGTTTGCACAAATACAGACCCTTTCGGTTATCATAGAACATTCTATGGGACACAGGTACTTCAGAGGGCTCTATTTAAACTTTTAAGCAAAAGGCCATGCAGGCTTACATAGAGATGCAAATGTCAGGAAGTGTGTGTAGTCTGCACATCAGACCGTCTGACTAGGCTCAGGATCCCTTTCCCCTCAGAGGAGATGGCTGCCGAGGAACCGCTGGGCACGGAAAATTTGGGCAGTGGATGCCCTGAGAACCAGGCTTTCCTCAGTGGTGTTGGCCAGGAGCCCTGCCTCCCTGCGTTGGCCTCAGAGCCACAGGAATGCAGTCTCTGGATCTGTGTGCTGTGCATTGTTCTCCCCCGGGGAAAAGCCAGGTGAGGAGGGTGGGCCCTTACCCTGCACATGTCTGTCAGCCAGTTCTTCTCTCCATTGTCTATGAAGCCATGGATAATGAAGCGCGTCTTACGGTCTAGGTTGAAGTTGGAAGCCTCGATGGTGGCTGGATCAGTGGCAGTGATCAGCTGGTTTAATTAGAAAAAAAGATAAATTTGATTGTTGGTCTCTCCAATCTCAGACAGGGGCATTTTAGTGACAGTCCCAGGAAGAGACATCACAGAGTCAGTCCCCACAAAGTTGGGTCATAGGAGAAGGAATTCCTTTATCCCTCCACTCCTTCTAGAATTTGACTTTACTTTTTTGTTAAATTTTAATTTGTATCAGTCCATGCTTGCAGTGCATAATGGTTCCACTTCTGTGGCATGCTATGTACATGTACAAGATCTAAGTTCTTTTTCTGTCTCCATTTCTGGTGGGGATGTGGCTAGAATTCAGAAAGCTCAAGTTCATAGACTTTTCCTGGTAGGAAAAGATAGCAGGCTACCTGTAGTTTACTATTTCTCATAATGATGAAACTAGGCAACAAAGCACCCTGGAGTTAAAACCCTCCGATTATATCCTCAGTTGAAGTCACAGGTGTTGTCATGTCACATTAAAATAGTAGAACCCTGGCTGGAAGAAGCAAGTTTTAGGTGAGATTCAGCCTGTGCAGTCATGAGTCCTCCATGCCCATGGCCTTGCGCAGGCCCCCTTCGGCTAGGACAGCACCCCCGCCTGGAATCCCTGAAGGTTGCTGTCAGGGACTTTGTGCCTTTTCTTTTGTGTTTAAAATTGTGCTTTTCGAGGAAAGTGATCGATGATGTAGAGTGTGCCTAAGGAGAGTCACATGGAGAGAAAATACTCTCTCAGGCTTTCACAGAGAGCACATTGGCCAAGCAATGGCCGTGACTCATCCACATGGCCGCACTGACAAAGGTTCTACAATCTGAGGGACAGGATCTCAGGATAAATCCTGAGGGGATTTCACTGGCCTTCTCAGACCCAAAGGTACAAGTCTTGTTGCATAGGTCCTGCTTTACCTTGGTCTTAACCATCCAGTAGAAAAGTATGAAGACGAAATATAGGAAGTAAAACCATGCTGTTATGTTGAGCTGTGGGGGACTCAGGTCAATAATTTCTGACATTGCCAGTTGAACAGAAGACCCAATGCCATTATGGGCTACTGGACTCTTTTAGAATATTTTGCTGAGTTTACACACCTATAATAGTCAAATAACGGAACTTAGAAAAAAAGGGGTATACAGATGAATGCCCCTTTTGTATCTGTGTATTCAAAGTGGTTAGGATAGATATATAGTTACATTCTCTTAATGAATAGAATGATTTGTTCTAATGGTGTTTGTAAATAGGATCTCAAGTCCGCATCTTGTACAGCAATTAACCACTAAGAAGAATATATGCAGTGTGTTAGTTATTGAAACTGTACTACTGATTTGATTTGAAACTGTCTCATTGCTATCTGTTTATCAATAAAATTTTGAAAAAAAAATTGTGCTTTTCCTCCTGTCTCCTAGCTCTTCTGGAAGGATTTATATGCCTTCACCCTCACCGTCAAGGGACATTTTTCTCTCCCTCCCCTGTCTAGACTAGACCATACATAGGACTTTCCTGGGGATGTGCCTGGGCTTATCCACCATTCCCATTCATGCTCTTTTTTGAAGGGAATATGATGTTGATACTGCAGTGGCCTTGAAGGGCACCCGTGTGTGTGTGTGTGTGTGTGTGTGTGTGTGTGTGTGTGTCTGTGTGTCTGTGTGTCTGTGTGTCTGTGTGTGTCTGTGTAGGTTTCTAGGTTAGGCATCAGGTCCTTAGGTGTTTAAGACTGTCCAGGATCTCTAGATCTCATAGTGAAAAGACAGCATCCTCTAAAGTTCTAACCCCTCCCCCCAAAAAAAATAAAATAAAAAAAATAAAGTTTTAACCCAGGAATTATACCCCAGCCAGCCATGCGAGTGCTCCAGCCAGGGACCTGCACCCGGCCACCGTGCAGTCACCCCGCCCCCCCTCTTACTTGATAGTTGTTCTGATTTTCATTTGTGTACAGAAAAAACTGAGTGTTGATGCTCTCGGGGGAGGAGGGAAATAACTTCAAAGGCCTCCGAAGGGTCCCTGCCCACGGCTTTTCATTGGAGAAGCAGCCGAGGTGTGAATAGCAGACTTCCTTCCCTGAGGCAGGAAGAACCACAAACAGGACACAGGTGAGGTTTTTGGAAGAGGCAGTTTTTCTCTGTGCAGGAAGACTCTTGAGGTCAGAGCCAGGGCCAGCTGTGGCTGGGGGTGGCCTTTACCATTGCCATCAGTGTTCCCAAAACTGCTGTGGTGATAAGAATCACTTAGGCCTCGGGATGAATTTGTATTTGTGTGTTCGCCACACAAACACCACAATCACCCTGGGCCCTCCCTCCCAGATTCCCACTCAGAGCATCTTCCGGGGACCTGTAAACAACATTTACTCAGTATCCCTCATCACTGAGCAGGCCAAGGACTCGCTGGTCTCCATCCTGCTGCCTCACGCCGAGACCTCCCTGGTGGCCTTGGCCGCATCAAATATGATCTGATGTCAACTGTTTCCTAAGTGCCTGGGCACTCTGCAGCACAGACATGCAGTGGATTCCTCTTAGCATCTCTGTGACATGTAGCACAGGCTGTCACTTTCTCCCCAGAGGGATGGTGACAGGCTCCTCACCTCTGACGGTGGCCAGGAGGAGAAGGCCGGTGATCCACGCGAACAGCATCTGCGGGATGAGAACAGTCACACAGCTACCAGCAGCCCTGGACCCATGGGTGCAGGCATGAGGCTGGCACAGCAGAGCCCAGGGACAGTGGGCAGGCCAAGACACAGAGACCCAGTGGCCTGGGCCTTGCAGGACTCTCCTTTGGGAAAGAGACCCTGAGGTTGGGACTTCCCAGGGCACCTGGAGTTGGGCAGCACCACCCTGGAGCCCTGAACTGGGGTCTTCCAGTTACAGCTGCTTGTCCCCCTGAACCCCGTTCGCTAGCAGCCCAGCTTTGCCTACGCTGCTCTTTGTGCTCTCTCCAGGCGCAATGTAACTGTGACTTACCGTGCTGAGCTGAACTTTCACTCCTGTCCGGCAGGTTGGCTGTGGCTTTTTAAATAATCAGACTTGATCCTCTGCACTCCTGCAAGGAAAGGTCACTTTGATCCCTGGTTATCAAAAACACATAAAGCCAGTGCAATCTGGCGAGCAGAAATGTTTAGAAAGAGAGGAAAGGAAAAACTAACTTTGGGGTGGGGAGGGCTCTGTTAATTGGAAGTTAGCAGGTTCAGTTGCCAAAAGACTGTGTTCCCAAACTGCTAACAGGCACACACCGTGCTGTGGTGCCTCCCCCCCCTCAGATCGCTTCAGATACTGGAACCCCAATCTCACTGGTTGGCAGATGATGCAGGGCACTAGAGGAGCTGCTTTTGGTCAGTGAAGGGTGTGTGCTTGCGGATGAGTTTGGGGTTCCCCCAGAACCCTAGAACCTGGGCAGAGGCTGGAAAGGAAAGCAACTCTGCAGAGCAAGATGTGCTAATCGGTAAAACAAACACTGCTCACACACAGTGTTGCTTAGAATAATACGCTCTGTCCTTAGTTCACTTTGGAGCTGGCCTAACTGCACTTTGATGCAAACAGAGACGTGGAAGGTTTTTTGTTTCGTTTTTCCGGAACTGGGGATTGAACTCAGGCCCTTGTGCTTGCCAGGGAAATTATTCTACGGAGCCATCTCCCCAGCCCCTTGGAAGGTTTTTTTCTTTCAAAGCTAAGAGGAGACCCTTGGTGGATGGTGCGGTGCCTCCCTGTGGTTTTTTAAGCTGTCTTATTATTTCCAAGTTTGTTCAAACTGTGGCCAACTTTCTTTTCTTTTTTGAGTGAAGAGAAACTGTCTTGAGCTACTTACATTTTTTTTTTAAAAGGGGGGAAAGGCAGGTGGCAGGTTAGACACGCCTGCTTTAGGTGCACCAAAGGGCACTGAGCTTAATTTTAAAAATTTAAGTACAGTTTAATAAGTTCCGACAATATATACTCCTGTCACTGGCTAGCATAGGTCTTTGCTTTAGGGATAATAAAAATGAAGACTAAGACAACAGTAGAATTTATAGGCAAACACTTTAATGGAAAACAAGCTGAGTTGAGGGAAGGACAGATGCCAGCTTCTGGAATAGCTGGGGGCAGTGCTCTGAGAAGAGGATAGGATGCCCAGGAAGACGGACACACCTGGCTTCCCGGCTCTGGGGGTGCTTTCCGGTACTCTGGGGGTGTCCCCGTGAGCCAAGAATGTTCTGTTACCCTTATCTTGGTGGATAAGTTTAAGGCCAATAAGCCTTGGTTTGTCAACTTTTTCTGAATGAATAACATACCTATATCCAAAGGTTTAATGTAATAAAGGAGAGAATGAAGGTCATGCCTTGTTCTACTTTTAGTCAGTTTTTGCCATGTGGAGGCCCAAATCGCTAGTCGAGGGTTCCGCAAAAACTATTTTAAAATCCTTAATTGTTTCAGAAGAAGATATAAATTGTGTTTTTAGCAAGAAACAGGTGAAGGGCTCAGGAATCTGTTTGTCTTTTGTGTCTATTGTGGTCTTTCACTGTGCTATGTCCTGAGAGACATTTATCCTTTAGTGAATTTTAAAGGAAAATATTTTTCTTTTGCAACTCTTTTTCTTATTTTAATGAGGAAAAAAATTGAAAATTTAATAATTAACATGTAAATAAAAAATTAATAGTTAACATGTAAAAGTAACAAAGCTGTTTTAAAGATTTTTTTAAACTATTGCATTGAAAAAGGAGGGGGAAAAGGGCAGGTGGCAAATTAGACATGTCTGATTTAGGTGCACTAAAGTGTTATTTTGTGCTTGATTTAGGTACAAAAATAACAATAAAACAAAGTCCCCTTCTGGGTATCTTTCCAGAAGAATTAAAAACACCATACCTTCTAATGGTGTTTGTAAATAGGATCACAACTCTGCATCTTGTACAGCAATTAACCACTAAGAAGAATATATGCAGTGTATTATTTGTTGAAACTGTACTTCCGATTTGATTTGAAACTGTCTCATTGCTATCTGTTTATCAATAAAAATTTGAAAAAAAACACCATACCTCAGGCACAATTTATAATAACTAAATCTTGGAAACACCTCAAATGCCCATCAACTGAGTCGATAAAAAAATGTATTTTTATATATAATGGAGTATTACTCAGTCATAAAGAATGATAAGCTTGAGATTTTTATAGGTAAATGGATGCAATTTGAGACCACATTCATAAGTGAAATAAACCCACATGTGTAAGCATTGTATTGTCTCATTTGTGTGAAAGACTTAATGAGTAAATAAGATCCAAAATATATGATAGATATTGTGAATTGGGAAGAAACTGTCCAAGAGAAGAAGGGCCTGGGGAGATAGCTCATGAGTTCAACCCCTGGTACCACAAAAAAAAAAAAAAAAAAAAGAGAAGAGAAGAAGAGAAACTGGTGGAGTGAAGGAGAAAAGAAGGAGGGGAACACACACACACACACACACACACACACACACACACACACACGGTAATTAAGACAGCTATACAGCTAGTTTCTTAGCTTACCAAAAAGAAAAATTTTTGCTAATACTGTTTCAAGAATACTTCAATCAATATCCTGTACTCTGAATAACAATGTCATAATTGTGCTCTTGTACAATTTTTGTTACTCTCATATTAGCCATGGGATCTGTGATTCTAGTTGTTTAAGGAGTCTCCACATTGATTTCCACAGTTGTTGCACCAGTCTACACTCCTACCAACAGTGAAGAAGGGTTCCTTTATTCCCCACAACACTCCCAGCATTTGTTACCAGTTGAGTTTTCAATGATCACCGTTCTTTCTGGAGTGAGGTGGAATCTCAGTATTGTTTTAATTTGAATCTCTTGAATGACCAACAACGTTGAACACTTTTTCATGTACTTATTTGCCATTTGTATTTTTACATCTGAGAAGTTTGCATTCATTTCTGATGCCCATTTATGGATTAGGTCTTTGAATTTAGGGGATATGAGTTTTTTTTTCAATTCTTTATGTGCTGTAGATATAAGTCCATTGTCTGAGGGACAACTGGCTGAAATTTTTTCCCCCATTTTGTGGATTGTCTTTTCACTCTTTTGGTAATGCCTTTTGTTGTGCAAAAGCTTTTTAATAAGATGAGATCCCATTTGTTGATTCTTTGAAGTATTTCCTTATGCAGCTTGGTTTAGTTCATGAACTCTCTGCCTATTTCGATGTCTTTAAGATTTCTACCTACATTTTCTTCCATGAGATTTTGTATTTCTGTTTCATTTTTTATCATTTGATTCATTTTGACTTTAGTGTGTAGTGATGGACACGGGTCTAATGTTAGTCTTAACATGTGGAAAGCCAGTATTTCCAGCACCATTTATTAAAGATGCTATCTTTCTTGAAGTGTTTGGCCCTGTTGTCAAAGATAAGGTGGCTGAGTATGTTTGTAGTTGTGTCTGCATCTTCTAATCTGTTCTGTTGATCTTCAGATCTTTTTTGTTCTTTGCTAGTACCATAGTGATTTTATCCCAGTAGTTTTTTCTTATAATTTCAAGTAAGGGGTTGTGATGCTTCCTACCTTGCCTTTGTTGACCAAGATTGCCTAGATCTCTTCTGTTTCCAGAGAAATTTTAAGAATATTTGCTCTAGTTCTATGAGTTATGTTAATAACATCAATTAATAATTAATTGATTGGGATTGCATTACATCAATATGACAGTTTTGGTATAGGGCTACTTTCACTTTGTTTCTTTTTCCTATGCTATTGTAAAGGATGTGGTTTCCCTGATTTCTCTCTGTGTGAGTTTGTTGTATATGGGAATGCTATTGATTTTTTTTAATGTTGACTTTGTATCCAGCTATGTACTGAATCTTTTTAAATCTAGAAATTGTGAGAAGGTATTGTTATTTTCAGATGATATGATACTCTACATAAAAGATCCCCAAAACTCTACTGAAAGACTTTTGGATTTATTTTAATTTTTTTTTTCCTTGTTAAAAAAAACTTTATTCATAAACACAAAATTCATGAATTGTATTTCTTTTCAGAAGACAAAAGACTAGAATTATTTTGTGCATAGCTCATTTTAGGTTTCAATCTTGATTACTGATATTTATATTGTACTACTATTTGTACTATGTACACTTACATTAAA